AGAAGCGAGTGCTGTTTGAGGGACTGTGACATCGAAAAAGTTTGTGAACAAAAGTTTTTGTTTTAATTGTTAATTGTTTTCATTATTGTTCAGATAGCAGATTAATCTGTTTTTCAAATTAGAATTGTTTTTTTCATCTAACGATCACTGATCAGCTGCAATAAATTCTCCAGGACCAAAAACGTTGATAAAAAACAGTCTGAAGATCAGCAGAGTTATCAGTTTTCTACCCTAAACTTCCAGGTTTTATGGAAATAGTAAGAAGGACAACCGTTGTTAAGAGAGGGGTGTCTTTTTCTTTTTTAATTGTGAAGAAAACATGCATAATTTCTCTCTTTATTTACATTTTAACAGTAATTTGTTTTGGTTTGGCTCAGAAAGGCCAAAAAGAACACAAGAAAGTTGATAGAACGTAATACAAAAATGTTAAAAACCTCCAAGAACATGAATAGTTCTGTAGAGTTTAGATCTGGAACTGGAACTATTAAGCTAAGGAGGAGGTCTTGCCTTGAACTTCCAGAGCCCCCCCATGTCATCGCTGCTTTCAAAGCAGGTTGGCTCCATGCCCTCATCCAGACAAGCCTTTATGCTGGTGAGACCAGAGGGGCCGGCCCCGATCACTGCGACTCTCTGCACCATGATGAGGCTGCTGCAGGACGGAGGAAAACTACGTTTTAGGAACAATATGTGCAGTTTTGTTCACTCTACAGTAAGTGCTTATCAATGGGTCAATTTTATTGTTAATAGAATTTGCAAAAAACAAAAAAAAAAATAACATTTTTAACTAAACTTCCCTCTTTATGCCATCCAGTATACTTTACATCATTACTACCGTCTTTTCTTTGCATTAATCCACTTACTTGTTTTTTAAACCAAACTTTTAACTTTGCGCCATTTGCACTCATATGCAATAAAGTAATTCATGCATCATATTCTTATCAGCTTTGCCTTTCATGTTCGCTTATAAAATAATCTTGAAAGAAAAAAGCAGATTCAGTGGAAACACTAGCTTTCTACATGACCAGCAACAAATGATCTTCACCTTTAAATCCCTTTGATCAGATCTTTCTAAAGTGTGAGAATGAATTGAATGCCCTGAAATAAACATACTGAGCTCAACGATGAGCAGAAATCTAATTAGCATTTTGTCATTCTTACCGTAATGATCCCTTTGTGCTGTTTTCCTGTTAGGCTGCAGAAGCATCACCTGAATACCTTTTATACACAAAGGAATCAATGAAGCGCCGCATTGTTTTTCTCCCCCCATTTTTTAACCCTAATTGTACAAAAAGGCTCCTATTGGCTTGAGCAATGTTTACTCAAATCAATGAAGTTTTACTTCGACTAAAGTTCAGGTTGGCTTGTGATCAAATGGGTGGGAGAAAGCTGATGGGTGGATGAGTGTTCTCATACGTTCCTCTGCCCGTGGATGCAGATCCATCCGCAGGCGGAGGGTGTCTGTACCATGATCTCTATTTTCAGTTTACATTTTCCAGCTTCAGTTTGCAGAATACATATAAGGTAGACTTTCATTACATGTTCTTTATGGTAGCTCCCTATTTTTCCTGAATGACATCATCTTGAAGGGCTGCATCCTTATTGTTGTATTTGAAGCATAACAGACAAGTTCCTCCATAGCAGGATCGAAATTCCTTGATATTATTTTATTACAAATTATATAAACTTTTTTGTCACCTTAACACTATTTCTTGTACAGTGAATTCATACTACTTGACTGAAAACAGCCTTTTAAAGGATGCATGTGATAGACGAACACAAAAACAATGCATTATGTGAATTATATGGATAAATATCTAAAATATTTGGTGTGATTTTTTTTCATTTAGGTTCTCCACCTCTAAATTACTACCTTGTATTTAAGCTCAGTTTAACAATAAATGTTTCCACCACTGTTGGATGGATTTAATGTAAGCTTTGACAATATCAAACATTTCAGCCTGTGACCCAATAAATAACAATCCATCAGACTCGTGCGTCCCTAAAAACCCATATTCATTTAACTACTTTTAAAATGAGGTTATTATTTTGATTCTTAAAAATGTGTTGGGTTTTTTTTTTTTTATTAAATCCAAATATTTACTTCTTAAAGCTACAGTGTGTAATAATTACAGGGATATACAGTCAGAAATGTAA